GGGGGGGGGCAGTTAGGGGCGACCAGGCCAGTAGGGGAGGCAGTTTGGGGCAATTAGGCTGGCAGAGGGGGCAGTGAGGGGCAACTAGGCCTGCGGGGAGAGCAGTTGGGGGTGATCAGGTTGGCAGGGTAGGGCAGTTGGGGGCGATCAGGTCAGCAGGGGAGCAGTTAGGAGCCAGCAGTCTTGGATTGTGAAAGGGATGTCCCCCGAGGGGTCCCAGATTAGAGAGGGTGCAGGTCAGGCTGAGGGATAGCCTCCCCCATGCACGAATTTTGTGCACTGGGCCTCTAGTGTATAATAAAAGCCTTAATGGTCATTCAAATAAATTCATGGACAAAATCCATGGCAATTGTTCTTTTCAAAATAAATTTTCCCCTAAAATTATTTTCTGTTTCACTTGGTATATAAAAATTCAAACCTCAAAATAAGGGCCTCTGGAGAACTTTATATAGATAAATATGATCAGTGAAAGAGTGATGTCTCAAAACAGTTTTCTATGAAATGCTAAAGCAATCATACTGTTTGAGAAGACCACATCCCCAATGGCCATAAGCCTTCCCAGACACAGTCAAGAATTACTGTTAATATCACTTCAAAAGGAAAATAAAAAATACTCTGCTTCATTTAAATGTTTAAATATACATTCTATTTGGTTGAATGATATGACACTGCCATTTTTCTAATCAAATATGGTTGAGTACTCACTCCGTGGAAGACAGCCACCATGTTATGAGGACACTGGAAAAGTCCACTGAGAATGACAACCAGGACCAACTGGCCAACCATGTGAGGGAACCATGTTGAGAGTAGCTCCATTAGGCCTTTTGATGACTGCAGCACTGACCAACACCTTGACTATAGTCTCATGAGCAACCTTGAACTAGAACCTCCCAAACCACTCCCAGATTCCCGACTACAGAAATTATAATAAAAAACAGAGGCTTTGAAAATTTGCCCAAGGTCACACTGTTCATCATAGGTAGAGAAGAGATTAAAATTTTCATCTGTCTGACTCTGGAGCCTGATCTCATTTGCTTTAAAAGGGGAGGTTATTTGGTAGTCACAAAATAGCAATGGATATGTAGAGCACAGCACAGAGAACAGAGTCAATAATATTATAATGACTATGTATGGGGACAGGTGGGTACTTGAAATAACAGAGGTGACAGGGGGGAGACCACTTTGTAAAGTATATGATTGTCTAACCATCTTGCTGTACACTTGAAACTAATACAAAATAATATTGAGTGTAAACTGTAATGGAAAAAATAAAACATAAAAATAAATAAGTGGAAACTTATAGAAGTAAAAAATTGACAAGTTGGTTGGTTGGTTGTTTTGTTTTTTTTAAAGGGAGATCAGAAGACTCATTTTCCTCAAGGTTCAGA